TTGGAATATCTGTGATTTGGTACAGATCAATTGTGAGAGATGCCTTTATAAATTGGATGTATTCAACAGGTATAGTGATTCAATGATCCAGAATAATTCTTTTATTTTTTTGTCTTTTGTCTTTTTCCGTGTCCGGCAACGGATCGCAACCCTCAGTGTTGCCCCCGTACCGGACCGGGGACCGGCAACGGGATCGCAACCCTTGGTGTTGCTCCCGCGCCTCGCTCAGCCAGTGAGCGGGAACCGGTCTGTATGTGGGATCCGAACCCTCGGGTGGGAGCGCCGCCGCGCTTCCCAAGCGGCACACTTATCCAGTGCGCCACCGGGCCGGCCCGACCAATCTAAATTTCTAATGATACTTCTCCCCATCAGTTAGGTTTCTTGCTGAAATATTCTGTGTTCATTATCTATTCAACAACTATTAATTAAGCAACAACTATTTGGCAAACATGGGTTTCAGTGCTAGGAGGGAAGTGGTTTTAAAATATATAATTGCTGTGGATTGAATGTCCACCCCAAACTCATTGCAGCTTAAACTATGTCCCCCGAAGTTCCAGGTACTGGAAACGTGGCCCCCACTGTGACAGTGTTAAGGGGTTGGGAAATCCTACTATGATAATTGAAAGGCAGGGCCTTGAAGAGGTGATTAAGTTGATGGCTTACAGATGGTCATGGGTGTGGTTCTGAGGGCTTTAAAAGGACAGCAAAAGGAAGTCTCTCTCTCTGCACTGCCATCTCACAATGTGATAACCTGTGTTGCTGAAGCCTTCACCAAGGAAGACCCTCACCAGATGCATTCCCTGGACTTTGGACTTCCCAGCCTCAGAAACTGTAAGCAGTGAATTTCATTTTCTTACAAATTACCCAGTTCAGGTATTTTGTTACATGCAACAGAAACAGATTAATACAACAATGTTTCTGTTCTCATGGGGCTGAATACACAATAGCTACATCCAGCTTTCTCAGTCTCAGCACTAATTCACATTTGGGGTCAGATAATTCTTTATTTCAGGGAGATTTCCTATGCATTGTAGGATGCTTAGCAGCAACCCTGGTTGCCCCCCACTAGATGCCTGTGGCACCTCCCCATTTATAATGAAAATGCCCCCAGACATTGCCAAATGTCCCTTCAGAGGGAAAATCACCTCAGCAGAGAACCACCAATCTAGGCCATATTTTAAGAATCAAATTTCAGAATGTAAGAGTATTTTATAATCATGAAATTGAAAAAAGTAAAATAACATTTATTTTGCAGAGGCTGATGCTTCAAAATGAGGGAATTTTAAGGCTATAAATATCCCCCGTTAAATGTCAATACCTGCAAACACAAAGATACAGCTGCCGCAGGCTACTGACAAATAATGATGAATAGGAACTAAATGTCATGAGTTCTAGATATAGTTATGAATTTCCTGGTGTAAGAAAAATGCATGGTCTGAGAAAGACTAGGGTACATACTGCTAGGATGAGTTACCAGAGCAAAGAAAATACTATATAGTTTTATAAGTTTAAGAGAAGATTTCCACCACTAAAATGCCTAGTATGCCCCAGGCCTAATATTACCAAATATTTTAACAAACACATAATGGAAGACTTATTCTGATATCTTCCAATTTCATAATAAAACTCAAGGAGAAAATGACAACTTAAAAAGATTGAATCTCTTTATGGTTGACTTTTGCTGAAATGCACCTCAGATATTCTTACCAGGCAATGAAAACTTACACTGCTGATTCCATTACACTCTTAAAAGGAATCAGGTACATATGGCTTTTTTTTTTCAATTAATTCATTTTATTTCATTTTTTGTTTGTTTTGTTTAGGCAGCCCCCAGTATGGGGATCTGAACCCTCGACCTCAGTGTTTTCAGCACCATACTCTGAGTGAGCCAACTGGCCAGCCCCACTAGTGGTGTTTAAAAATGACTCTCGCGAGCTGTGATACCTTCCAAAATTTGGCCGCTACCCGTCCCATCAGCCCTATTTCCACCTGCACATGGACCCTTCCTTGTTCCAGCCAAACAGACTCTGCATTTTCCCTGTGGTTTCCCATCACTCAGTCTGATGCCTAAGCCTCTTCCATTCTCTGCACCCCAGTTTCTTCTTGTTCAAATCTTTCCCATCCTTCTTTTTTTTTTTTTAAAGATGACCAGTAAGGGGATCTTAACCCTTGACTTGGTGGTGTCAGCACCACACTCTCCCAGGTGAGCTAACCAGCCATCCCTATATAAGGGATCTGAACCCGCGGCCTTAGTGTTATCAGCACCACACTCTCCCAAGTGAGCCATGGGCCGGCCCTCAAATCTTTCCCATCCTTCATGCCCAGCTTTAAAAGGCAGCTGGGAGGAGTTATTCTTCTCTCTAAGCTCCCTCTCTGTGGCACCCACAACTGTCTTGTTTGCATGGCAAGTGAACCTGCGCCTGACCTCCTTCTGGCTGACTGTAAGCTCTTTGAAGGCAGAACCGCCCGGTTCCCTCTTTAGCACCCAGGACAGCGCCCTATACTCGTCCTGCAAACCCTACTTTTATTGAATTTTATTATTTTAAATCTCAATCGTGAGGTCCTGCCATCCTGACTCTGATGTGGCATCCTACAGACTCCCAGATGAGTCAGGCTACAGACCCTGTCAGTAGAAGATTTTTTTGTGGGAAAATCATTTCTGAATTTTTGTTAAATGATTTCAAATGCTTTGCAGGGTGCCTATTATATACTTTTTCAGCATTCTACCTGGAAGAGACTTTCTCAGTGTTTCTGATCTATATCATAAGATGGAGTTTATATTTTTAACTTTTTTGTTTGTTTATTTAAAGAAATGCTCATTATGTTCTTTATGTGCAGATCTTCCTTATGGCAATTACTTCTAAACTCCTGACACAAAAGGTCCTTTTTCTTTCTGCACAGTTAGTCTTTATGGAACTGAATGACGTCCTCATGGAGAAGCAGAGCTTGCACAAAGGCCATGCCGCCCCTCAAACTTGCAAAATAGCTTCTTTCTATAAGAACACACTTTAGAGAAAAACTCACTAAAACTTAATTAATTGTGAATAAAGAGTAAAGGGCAGAAGGGTGGAGGAACTGAACACTACCTAAATTATAGTATATGCTTAAAAATGCAGTTTTATTATTAAGCATATACAAAGACAGAAATTGGCTAAATTAATGTAAAAGAGAAAAATGAGGTAGGTAAGGGAAAATTTTATTTCACACCAGATCTTGGTATCTGGAATTCTAAGTTGTTGTGCTCATTTCAAAATTTTATCAAATTAAGAATAATGGCACAAACGCATCTCAACGTACTTGCCTGTGTTTTCCAAATCTCCTACAATAAACATATATTTTTTTTTCCAAAAAAATTTTTAGAGTCACGTATTCCGAGCCTGAAATATCATGCATGTATGTTTACAGAGTTAGAGCTAACATAATAAGTTTTTCAGTCTGTTTTGTAATTTAGTTTAGTGAAATATATCAAGTGTTCATGGCAGCTGACCATGGGAGCCATGTGCGTTGAAGCAGATGGTTGGTGTCCATGGGCATCTGCTTAAATGCAAAGGTGTGTTTTCACATAAGACCTGACAGTCAGAAGCTAGTCCACGAAGCACTCAGGGCCTCACTAGCAGTGGCAGGTGGCTTGGCCCCCTGCTCCAGCCAATTAATGAGCTTGTATTCACACTTGCCTCTATGTTCCTTCCCATCCAGCAGCAACTTTTACAAAAGCAGCGGGAGCAGTGGCCACAAGGAAGCCTTTCCTTTGACTGAGGAGAGGTTTAGCAACCAAAGCAATCAGGCAGGAAGGCGGAGGGGGTGGAGTCTCCAGGCTCTCCTGTTCTCCAGCACCACCAGGTTGGGCTGCGTTCTGCCACACACTACCATGGACCACCCTGCCCCTGAGGCTCAGGAAAGGGAGAGGTTTTTTCACTACTAGCCACAGCATCAGTGTGGACAAGGGCAAGCCTGGGTCCAGCTGGTGTCCTCGGGAGTGGAGCCCTACTTGGCCCCTAGCCTCTGTGTGTTTACAAAGAGAGGGGAGTCACAGGGCCCCCTGGTGGCTTGGCTTGTGCATGGCAGCCTGGAGGGCACCTGCTGGGCCTGAGGACGTGGCGTTCTGCTGTCCCAGGCCACCTCCCTCCAGCATCCTCCTTCAATTCAGGCTGGGACCCAGCATGCAGAGCTGTCTTACCCGCATGCTGTGGCGCTTGAAGACATTGTGCCGGTGGAGAGGCGGGGTGTGCAGCGAGTTAACAGGAGATGGATACTCCATAGGGCTGGTGAGCGTGGGAGAGCTGGCACACAGACCCTCAGGGACCTATTCAGGAGAAGCAAAGAAGCACCAGGCACAGGGACAAGACCAGAGGGTGGACAATTAGCAGCTACAAACATGAGCACAAAGAAATGACACATGAACACGGTGGGAGACACAGGACCTGCTCTCCAGCAGCTAATAAAGAGCACAGTGTGGGCATTTCATTGGCTCTATCTAAGAGAAACGGTGGAGCAGCATGGCCTCTCGTCCACCGAACGTTCCTCCCCAGGTGCTCTGCACACAGTGGGGTCCACGTGTCACTGGCCCACTGAGACCAGGTCTTCCCCCTCAGGACTCTTTGGAAAAGAGTTTCATTTTATAGTCGTGATGCACATTGACAGATATGATTACTCACAGATATATATATATATATATATATATACACACACACATAATTATACATTAATATATATGCAATATATATAATTATGTACATAAAAATATATAATTTTTATATATATATATAATTTTAAATCACTATTTTAAAGAACACACAAGGGGATTTTTTTTTTTTTAAGGACATTGTTTCCACCTTCTGAATCAGGGCTTTTTCCTCACATGAGGAGGATTTATCTGTTAGTCTGTGGACGGCGTGTTTTGGCACCAGGGCATTTTCTTGAGAAGAAACATGACTGTGGGGCACCACCTTTCTTTAAGGAGCATGAGATAAGCTGACAGTGCCCCTATTGGTTGAGACACTCCATGTCTGAGCAGCGATACTGAGCTAAGGGATGCAAGAGAAGAAAAGAGAGGGGTCTGAGTTCCCTCTTACCTAGATGCAAGAAAGAGGCATGGGACAGAGACATTCTGTGACAGGGACCCACAGCCTTGGGAAGACATGTGGTTGGTGATAGCGGAGGCAGGAGAGAGCTCAGGTGGAAACCTGCTCTCTCTCCACTGGCCACCCAGGTTCTGGTCAGGGCCTCTGCGGGGAGCCCCGGGGAGCGACTCCAATCTCTGGAGAATGTCAACTGTCCCCAGCTCCCCGGGATTCCTCCCAGAAGGCGCTGCTCAGGGTAGGAGGCCAGGCAGGTCCGGGACATGGGGAGGTGTTGGTGGCGGACACACGAAGCAGCAGACGCAGGAGACAGATGGACTGGCCTTAAGGCAGATCTTCCTAGCTGAGGACAGCCTGGTAGAATGACATTCTTATTCTCTTAATCTGAGTTCGTGTTCTATTCTGGGTGCCAAAGAAGAGCCAACCCAGGCCAGCTCCATTCCCCGAGTGGGTGTAGGCTGCTCTTCAAAGGCACAAGAAGGAATTTCGGGAAGGACCTAGATGAGGGGTGGGCCTGAACTTTCCCGGCCCTCTGGTTACATATTTACCTGGAACTGCAGCTTGGGAGCCAGGAGGTTGGTCTGTGGAGGGGGTCTGTACTTGGGCCGGCTGGGCTGGAGAGAGAATGCAGAGATGTGTCAGTGCCATTTCTCTCCTTGAGTGAACAAAACTCACCCAGGGCAACAGCAGGTCAGAGACAGCTCAGGCTTGTCCAGAAGGAAGAAGAAACAGGGACAAAGTTACCACTAAAACCATTCTGCACCCACTTAATGAGCATCGATGACCTGCTAAGTGATGGGGAGGGACAGAGGCCAGCCTCTTGGCCCTCCTGGGGTATCGCTAATTGGAAGGGTTAAGGGTCTGTGCATGTGTAGCTCCCCTATGTGGGGACACTGCCAAACGAGCAACCAAGAGCCACAGACAGTCAGAGGGAGGAAGTCACTGAGGGCTCAGGAACTCACAGAAGCTTCGTGGAAGACATGACAACTGAGTGGGCCCTGAGGGAAGGGGCAGAACATGCCAGGCAAGAGGGACAGGTGAGAAAAGGCCTTGGAGCAGATCAGGCATTGCTGTGGACGGAATGTCTGTGTCCCCCTCAAGGGCACCTGTTAAAGCCTCAGCTCCCAATGTGATGGTGTTAGGAGGTGGGGTCTTTGGGACATGATTACACGAGGTCACAAGGGTGGAGACCCCATGATGAGATTAGTTCTTATTAGGAGAGGAAGAGAGATCAGAGCTCGATTGCTCTCTGCTGGGTGAGGACACAGTAAGAAGGAAGCCACCTGCACCCAGGAAGAGGCCCTCACCAGACACCAGCACCTTGATCTTGGACTTCCAGCCTCCAGAACTGTGAGAGATAAATGTCTGCTGTGGAAGCCACCCCATCCGTGGTCTTTTGCTGTAGCATCTCCAGCTGAGTAATACAGGCACGGTCTCTCAAAACCCACCCACATGACAGCACAGCAGTGGGGCCCTGGCCCTTAGCCCAGTGCTGCCAGGGAGGTCACAGACACAGACTGCCCCGAGGGACCCAGGACACACCCACCCACGTGTCCTTAGGGGATCTAACCCGTCCCTACAAAACTCCTAGGAAAAAAGTGCCCAGCCTCTCAAGAAAAACTTTTGGGGGTGCTTCTTGCCTCAGTCGCCCCACAAAGTGTCTGCTGTCTCAGATGCCACCTGCTGGGACACTGGTGTGACAGGGCTGAGTTCAGTGCTGATGGATGGTTGGGTAGAAGGGCTGAGAGAGGATTGTGGGGGAGCATCCTGCTTATGCTAAGGTGGGAGTGGGTCACAAAGGGACCTGGCTCTGCTGTGACTCATGGGACCGATGAGACCAGGGCTTGGCTAACCTTGGGTGGGGGTTCCTGGAAGGTGGTGGGCTCCAAGATTTTGGGGGGTCGGTAGCGAGCGTTCCTTTCTTGCTCTATAGCAATGTCCTTCTCCATCTGATAAATGTCACTGCCAAGAGGTCAGGTCAGACAAGGAGAGAGAAACAAGGTCAGAGTTATATGCATCTCGGGGGCTCCTTGGAGAGACAGTCCCAGCCCAAGCTGGCAGCAGAAGCCTGCCTGCAGCCCCGCCTCCCCTGCGCTTGCCCTCCTGCACCTGCTATTGATGCTGGTGCCCTGTGGAGACTTCCAAAGTCCCAGCCAACTTCACGACCCAGGCCTATGTCTCTCATCTCCTGCATCTCATTATACATCCCACCAATGCATCCAGGTGTGTGCTGACGGGGGCTGTGGGTTCACTCCCAGGTTAGCTGTGTCACGACCCAGGCCTATGTCTCTCATCTCCTGCATCTCATTATACATCCCACCAATGCATCCGGGTGTGTGCTGACGGGGGCTGTGGGTTCACTCCCAGGTTAGCTGTGTGTGTGCCTCTGGCCTTTCTTACCCAATCCAGTGCTCCTTAACCTGGGAATGACAGACCTCAGAGGACTCTGGAATTATTGCAGGGGGTCCATGAATCCATGAATCCATAGTACCAAGTATTACGCACTATTGAATATATAATACTTGATACTGCATTTTCAAATGTATGTGCCTTATATTGTGTGTCATAAAAATTAATGACAGCTGACTTCATTTAGGTGGTCAAAGGATTCTAAGAGTGTAGCTATTGTTTCATAGAAGAATTCTCAAAATTTGACATTAAAAAGGCCTTTCCTATCCCAAAAGATTGGGATACACTGATCAAATTGTTTCCTAACTCTAAAGGAGGGACTGTCAGGCTGTGGCTTGAGGCAGCCTCCTGGGGTCTTCTGGGTCTTTGAGTGTCCTTCAGATCACAACAGAACAGCCTGCTCATAATCCCATCCATGGCAGGGGGCTGGCAGGGTGCCTCTGGTGGGGGGCAACTGTTATAGCTCCCCACAGTTCTCCCAGCCTCATCACCCCAGAGCTTTTGCCCTCTCCAATTACATCTTTCAAATACTTTTCTCCTGGAGCCCGTTGGCTTCTCAAATCTCCCTTACGAGGGACCAACAGAGGCATCCAGAATTAGTTGTCAATGAAGAGACACACAGGGGCAGAGAGACTTTCTAAGCCGGACATTTTGCAGACCATGTCAAAGTCCCTGCCTCACAAAAAATGGGGGGTCATCCCCAGTGCCCTGGCCTGGGAATTCCCAGCACCAGCCTGGGGCTGCCTCTACATGAGGCAGTTTCTGGGGGCTATTTTCTTGTCCTCAAAAGAAATGCCAGTGTGTTAACTATATCATTTAAGTTTACAGTGTTTAAAGTTAATTAAGCATGAGATTCCCTAAAGCAGGGGTCAGTAAATGACAGCCCACCAGACAATCCAGCCCCTACCTATTTTTGCATGGTCCCAAACTAAGAATGGCTTTTGTACTTTTTAATGACTGAAAACAAATAAAAAGAAGAAAAATATTTTACGACTCATAAGAATTAAGTGAAATTCAAATTTCAGTGTTCACAAATAAAGTTTTATTGGAACACAGCATTGTTTATTATTGTTCTCAAGCTACAATGGCAGACTTGAGTCATTTCGACAGACACTTGTATGGCCTGCAAAGCCCCCCAAATTTACTATCTGGCTCTTTACAGAAAATGCTTGCTGACCCCCACCTTAAAGGAAGCCAAAAGAAGTCAGACCACCCATGGGAGAGCTGATGACAGGCATGCTACCTGGAAAACGGAGGACCCCAAACCTCTAAAATGGACAAAACCCTCGCCAGTGACCTCTCAGGACCCAGGGAATCATGGCTTCCAGGCACAGAGAAGGATCTGACCCTCAGACCCCTGACCCCCATTCAAAAGGGAGAGTCTTGATAGGTCAAAAATGACCCCCCTCCTTGCTATCTGGGAGGAAAGACCAAAGTCTAGAGGAGAGGTGAGAGGGCACCGTGGGAAAGCAGGTGGCATGTCCCAAACTCCACAAAGCGCACAGACCCCTCAAGGAAAGTCTTGTGGTCAGTCTTGTAATTCAAACCTAACAAATACCTTCTGAGCACAAACTGTGAGTAAGGCACTGTGCTCGGGTTTGAGAGACGCCCAGATGAGTAAGGCTTCCCCAGGCTGGCCTTGTCTCTGAGCTCATATCTGACAGTGACCTTGGTCTTGACCTCCTGTCCTGCGATAGAGTTACTGAGCGCCTATGTACTGAGTGTCTGGCATGGTGCTTCTGCTGGAAGTATCGACCGATTGCACCTGGATACCTGGCTCGGTGTTGGTCAGGAGGGAGGTCTGGGTGCAAGTCCCAGCCCCGTTTGTCACTGCCTTTGCTGAGTCCCCCACTCTGTGCCTGAACTGTGTCCTCCACAAGGTGGGAACAAGGACATGGGCTGCAGAGAGTGGTGAGACCTGACCACATCTCGTTTAGGGAAGCACACTGCCAACCTCTCAGTGCCGCTGCACGGGAGCAGTCCCTCTGCCCGCAGCCCCCGCCCCACGCTCACCTGAGGCTGCACACGAGCTCCGTGAAGCGGGGCCGGTCACTGGGGTCATAGTCCCAGCAGCGCGTCATGAGGGTGTATAGGATAGGTGGACAGAGGTCAGGCTTGGGCAGCCGGTCTCCTTTTTCCAGCACCCCGATGACATCCTTGTTCTCTAGCCAGAAGAAAGGCTGCTTCCCAAAGCTCAGGATCTCCCACATGCACACGGCTGAGGGCAGAAGAGGAGGACTCAGGCCCCGTGCTGGGCCACCCTCCCCAGGAGCAGAAGCGGCAATCAGCACGTCCCGGCCAGGAGGAGCTCTGGTTTTGTCTGGCCTCCTCCTCCAGCAGCCTGGGGGTCTTGCCCACAATGGTGGTCCACCCAAAGAACCAACAACCTACATCTGTAGTAAACAAACTTAGGCCCCCTTCCTAGACCCCTTCAACATGGAGTTGTTAGTGTTCTCTGGGGTCAGGAGGCGGCCGTCAAAGACACATCTCTGGGACCACCAGTGACTTCTCTTAGGAGGGAGGGAAGCCCCTATCAGAAAGCTGGAGTTGAACAGCTGCCACCAGAAGCCCCTGACCTGGAGTGGGGGAGGCCCCCCAAGGCTGTGGCCATGCCCCCCCACCCCCATCCACAACCAGGCCAGCGATGGAGCCAGCCGTGGGCCAGCCCTGCCCCATCCTACCACTCCACAACATCTTAGAATGTAAAATAAATAAATAGGTAAATAAACAAATGAATCAATCAATCAATCAATAGAAGAAAGCTGGAGTTGGAAGCCTAGTGCCAACACTGTCTGAGCCTCAGTCTCCTTATCTGGAAAATGGGAGAGATGATCATGAGATTTTCCTGGGTTGGCTGTGGGAGAACTGAGTGGGAAAATCTACAGGACTGTGTTCTGTAAGGGGCTGTCCCTCCACACCGGCTCCGCATGGGAGAGATGATCATGAGATTTTCCTGGGTTGGCTGTGGGAGAACTGAGTGGGAAAATCTGCAGGACTGTGTTCTGTAAGGGGCTGTCCCTCCACACCGGCTCCGTCTCTCTACTCTATGCACCTCCTTCTTAGAAACAACCTCTGAGCTCTGTCTTTGGGGATCTCCTCTGGGGTGTCTCCCCTTTAGTCCTCAGGGCTGCATGGTGGATTACATACTCATCGCAAGAGCCTCTTCCAGGAAGATGGCCCGACACTGCCCAGGCCAGCCCTTAGCCCGTCACCCCAACCCACCACTGGCTTCCCCAGCCCTGAGGCTTCTCAGTGACCCCAGCAAAACAGAGCCCTGGGAACCTGGGGGTGTTGGGAGGGGAGAATCTGACCCCGTTTCCTCACCCTCCTGTGTTGCCACTCACCAAACATCCAGACGTCGCTGGCAGTCGTGAAGCGGCGGAAGTTGATGGACTCGGGGGACATCCATTTGATGGGGAGGCGAGTCACAGAGGCTTTGGGCAGTCAAAGAGGTTAGCAGGAGTTATGTAGGGAAGAAAGATCAGAATCACCCACAAATACAGCCTCCCCTCCGGAGACCCTAGGTCCCGGGCCGCCGGCCGTAGGCTTCTTTGGGCAGTCAAAGAGGTTAGCAGGAGTTATGTAGGGAAGAAAGATCAGAATCACCCACAGATACAGCCTCCCCTCCGGAGACCCTAGGTCCCGGGCCGCCGGCCGTAGGCTTCCTTTTTCTGGGCTTTTGGCTTCAGCGAGCCCTTCAAGGGCAAAGCAGAGCTGGGAGCTGTCACCTTTGTAGTAGTCCTCTTCCTCAATGTACCGGGACAGGCCGAAGTCCCCCAGCTTCACACACTCAGGAGAGGCCACCAGGATGTTCCGGACGGCAATGTCCCTGGAAGAAGGGTGTCAAGACCAGGGTGAGGCGCTGCCACTGTGGGAGCAGGAACTCTTCAGAGAGACAGAGGGACAGATGGACAGAAGAGTGCTGCCCAGGGACCCAGCCTCCGGAGCAAAATCAGGCAGCCTCTGTCGGTCACTGTCCCCCCTGGGGGGTCCTATAAAGCCCAGCTCGGGGGGGAGCCAGGGCGGCCCCTCTGTGCCCAACACAAGCGGACCCTCTGTCGTGGCCTCCTTGTCACTGCAGGACTCTGTCACTCAGCAGCTCTTCCCACGAGTCTCCAACTTGAAGCCTGGCTTGGGTTCCCAGGACTTGCTGCACACACTTCTGTGCTGTTGGCCAGGCAGTCCCGGCTGCTGGGAGGTGTCATCCTGCTGGTTTTGCAGGGATGAGCCCCCACCTCTTCCCTGGTCACAATTCTCCCCTCCCCTTATACCACAGGCACAGCTGTGGCAGCAGCATAACTAACTTTGGTGGAGCAGGTAGGATCCCAGGATCCTACATGTGACTACGTGCCCTGAGCCCCGGCACACAGTCTCTCAGAACCCCCCGGTACAGGCGAGGAGGCAGGAGCACAGGGAGTTGCAGGAATGGGCCCCGCAGGTATGGGCCCTACAGGTTACTGGCAGGAGAAGGGTCGGCCCAGGCAGCCTGAGTGCAGAGCCGCCTCTCACCCCTCGCAGGGGGAGCACCACTGACTCGGTTTACCTCATGTTCTGGCATCACTCCCAACCCCACACCACTTTCCCTGCTTGCTTCCCACAGGAAGGCTTCACTCTTTAATGTTTGCTTTTGTTTACTGAAAAGATGACTTGAAAGCATGGCAACTTCAAATAAACAATCAGGGATTGTTTATTTCTACGATCTGTCATCTACAATCACACCACCTCAGCCCGTGACCATCGATGCCACACGTTTGACCCTCAGGCTAGAATATGAGCCTCATGGGGAAAAGGGGGCTTGCCCATTTAAACCATCACCTCGTCCTGGAGCCTAGGACGGTGCCTGGCACTGAGTGGGAGTTCCATGACATTTGTTGAGTGACAGAACGGACGCCTGTTCGTACCCCCAGCACGGCTTTGCAGAGGCTCAGGCATGAGGCCACGCAGCAGATGGCAATGGTGGGGTAAGCACCCCGCTGCTGTCTCCCCCAGGAGTCACGTTCCAGGGCAGGAACCTCCTTGCAGGGGATGGGAACAGAGCAAGGTGGAGCAGGGGCCAACTCCACAGCCACCGGGAGGACAGGACGCAGCAGCCCGAGGGTGCTGGGAAACCAGGGCTGCGTCTGGGCCCAGACCCCAGGATCTTCCCGGTGCTGCTCTAGCCTAGTCCCTCCTTCCTGGGCCACACGTCACCAGGTGGTGAGCTGGAGGAGAGTGAGCCTGAGCAGGGCGGGAAGCTACTTCCCGGTACCCACAGCAGAAGGGCTGGAAGACATTGAGCTACAAGCAGACACCTCGGGCTTCAGAGTTACTCTTAACAGTCCTGTGCAGCACACACGGCTATTTTAACTTGACAGATGAGGCAACAGGCTCCGAGAGGTTGCTCAGGGCTCTATGTTGCTGCGACTGGCAGGGTCAACTCCAGGATCCCAACACTGGCCCATGCACTCCCTTCCCATACCTGTGCACACAGTTGATGCTCTCCAGGTAGGCCATGGCTTTGCATATCTGCAGCGAGTACAGGACGAGGGTGAGCACCTTCAGGGAGTTCTTGTTTCGCTCCAGGTAGTGGCCCAGCTGAGGGAAGAGGAGGTACCATCAAGACCCCCGGTGCCACTCCTGTACGGAGCCAGTGGGACAGGAGGGCAACCCCAAAGCTGGCAGCATGTCCCAGTCATCTCTGCACACAGGCCTCTGGGTTGTTTCAGCTGAATCCAGAAGGCGGGGTGAGCGGAGGAAGGGCCCCTCGCTCTAAGTGCCTCCCACTGGGTGCCTGCTCGTGTGTGGCCCGATTGTCATCCCAGTGTCCCCTCAGTGCACCTCCAGCTCACCTCCCCGTAGGGATACAGTTCCATGATGATCCAGGTGGGCTCCTCTTCGATGATGCCAATCAGCTTCACAATGTGCGGGTGGTCGAGATTCCACCTCCAGCTCACCTCCCCGTAGGGATACAGTTCCATGATGATCCAGGTGGGCTCCTCTTCAATGATACCAATCAGCTTCACAATGTGCGGGTGGTCAAGATTTTTCATAATCACTGCAGTGGGGGCAAGGGGGAGGGCCGGGGAGGCTCAGAGTCTGTACTGTCCCCACAGGGAGAAGCCGGGAGCAAATCCTCCTTCAGCACGGTGCAGGCACTGCTCACGCTTCCTGCTCCTGGGTTGCTGGCCCCCTCCCACCTTGGAGTCCTGGGAGGTCTCGGGGTCCCTCCCTAGGGGACGCCTACCTGCCTCGCTCATGAACTTCTCCTTGCTATCAAGAGTGCAGTCTTCCTTGCAGGTCTTGACGGCCACATTGATTTTCTCCCCTTTCTGCAACAAGAGAGTGTTGAGGGCCCTTTGGTCCCACCTAGTGCTCAAAAGAGTGTCCCCTCCCGGGGTCACCGTAGCCATCCTCTGACTTTGCCACCAGTCGACTCCCCCTCTCACTCCCCACTACCTTTTTTCTCGATCAGGATCAGGCTGTGTTACAACTGGGAAAGGCTGTAGAGATCAGAGAACTCAAGCCCCTGGCTGTCTGGATGACACTGAGGCTGAGGGTCACAGGGTCTGCCCAAAGTCAGCAGGTGGGTTGTGAAGCAGCTGCCCGGCCATCGCCAGACGCGGGGTCCAGGCCACTTTCTCTCCCTTTATTGCTGGGCTTTAAACTCTTGCTGCCCATTCCTGCATCTGCCTTTCCCTGGAGCCTGCTAGAAGCACGACCACACGCGCAAACCTTGCTCTGCCCCTCAGGGCCTCAAGACCAGCTCCCGCCTTGGATCCTGCGTTTCTCTTCTCAGAACTGGACCTTGATCCCGCCTCCCCCCCTGTGTTCCCCCACCAAGAGGTGGCGGCCCTCCTCCAGGTCCTGCCTCTATTTCAGTCCCTAGGATTTTGCTACCCTTCCTAGAAATGCCTCTCGTCGCCATCACACCCTGAGTATTACATGAATCTCACATGCAAAGTGGATGAGGATGCACCGCGTCATGGCTGCCACCTCCACTCCACTAAGATTGGAGCCCTTGCCTCACCCTACAGACCAGCACACGAGGAGCATCAGGGAGGAGTCTGGAACTCACGTGATTTGTGTAGACACCTTCGTAGACCTCCCCAAAAAAGCCTTCGCCAAGAATACGATTCAGAACCACATCTTCGCGGGTAACTCCATACTGTGGACCTGCACAGATGCAGAAAACAGAGTCCCAGGGCACAGAGACCAGCGGGCATCCCCTGGGGAACCCAACTGTCTACAGAACCTAAAGCCAGGTGTCACCAGAAGATGCAGAAAACAGAGTCCCAGGGCACAGAGACCAGCGGGCATCCCCTGGGGAACCCAACTATCTACAGAACCTAAAGCCAGGTGTCACCAGACCCCCCAACACCACCTCAGCCAAGATCCAGGGGCTGGGCTGGGCAAGGGGATCTACAAGGTTCCACTGTCTCAGGCACAGGGAAGAGCCATCACCCCGTTCCCTCTGAACGCTCAGTCCTAGGTCCACGCTCTTAGAACCCCACAGCTCCACAGGCAAACAGAGGTCAATCAGGATCGGGGAAGAAAGAGCGATCCCAGCTTTCAGATCCAGGGCGCCTCGGTCTGCCCGTCAGAGCCACATGGGGGAGCACAAAGGAGGGACAGAATGCTCCCTGTGGTGTCACACAAGTGCATGTGACGTCACTTCTCAGGGCCCTGACTGTGGTTGTGGTGGTGGGGTCAAGGACCTACCTCCAGGCCTCCGCAGGGTCTCATCAGGAATCTCCGCATAGATGTCTGACTCTGGAACGACAGGAAGACGCCCATCCCATGGACAAGATGCCCTCAGTGGGCCCTGTCAGGAACCAGCGTGTGGCTCCCACCCCAGAGGCCAGTGGAGCCGAAGCGGGGTGGAGGGGGTGGAAGCCAGCCGAGCCCTGGCTCCCGTCCCGGGGTTCAGAGCGGCCACAGAGCCTCGGGTGCCTTGGCCTGAGTTCCTGCTCATTATTTAGGACAAATTGGTTACTCTCCCTTAAGCTCAGTTTCCCTTTCCGTGACATGAATGTTTCTGGGGAATGCTGTAAAGATGGAATAAAATAATACCTGCTATGTGTTTAACACAGTTACAGGCTTAATGTTTGTGTCCCCCCCAAATTCACATGCTGAAGCCCCAATCCCTGATATGACTATACTGGGGGTGGGTGGGTGTTGGCAGGTGATTCCCAGGATGGGACTGGTGCCCTTATAAGAAGAGAAAGAGAGACCAGAGCTCTGTCTGTCTTCACCATGTGAGGACACAGAGAGGACTGGCCATCGCACACCGCGAAGAGAGATCTCACCAGATGCACAATCTGCCGGCACCTGGGTTTGTACTTCTAGAACTGTGAGAAACAAATGTCTATTTTTGAGCCACGCAGTCTATGGTATTTTGTGCTGGCAGCCTGAGCTAAGAGAAGCGTGGTGCCGTGTACTAACTACTCAGTACACATTAGCTATCATGATTAATGATATTTTAAAACCATCATTAAGAAGTGACGGGGAAGGACATTTTTCTGTGATTGGGAAGGACCCCTGGGCAATGTCACCAGCACAGGCAGAGCGAGGCTCTGGGCACAGGCGGAGGATGAGGTGGGCTTACCTATGCTGCAGCTTTCGGAGAGGTGGGACCGCCGAGCCTCCAGGTTTCTGCAGGAGGTGGGGGCAGGAGCCAGGTGAGCTCAGAGCCTGGCAGTGTTCCCCTGGTCGCCTCGGCCCACCCTCCCCACCTGCCTTGTCTGGGGACGCAGCCCATCCTAGCTGGCAATAACCTGGGAGCACAGCCCAGGCTGCCGGGGGGGTGGGAGAAGGACGGCAGTGATCCTCTCAGGATAAGGCCAGGTGGCATCAGGGCACGGGAATATTCCTGCAGGTATTTACTGCAGGGGGAAAATCATCCTTGTGAAATGCTGGGACTCTGGTGTTCTGGGGCCCAGAAGCCGGGAAGTACAGCGTTGGGGGCTCCCTGTTTGCTCTTCCTCTGTTGCAGCACAGGCTGAGCTCAGGGCCCTGCCCTGGCCTCCCCGGGGTACTCACAGCATGGGGATCTGGGGCAGGCTGTTCCGCTTCTCACCATCTGCGGGGAGAGACGGTAGGGGTTGGAGCCAGCGAGTCCAGGTCCTGGGGGCAGTGGATGGCCAGCCTCCTGCTCCTACAAGGAGTCCCCTCCCTGCCATTCTGTCCTCTCTTGGCATCAGAGTGGAAGCCGGGTCGGCCACGGGCTAGAACTGGAATCCTCTCTGGAGGTTTCCTTCTGACATTGTTCCCAATCTCCCGGACCCCTGCCTCCTGATTCCGACCCCCAAAGCAGAATGCACACACAGGAGGGACCAGCCATGTTCCAGCAATAGCTCTGATCTCCCTGGGGCACCAACCGCCTCTTCTCCAGACCCGTCTCTGTGCGGCCCTTGACCAGCAGGGCCGGGGGAGACGGGCCAGCCCGGGCCCTGCAGCTGACAAGCCAAGATGGGTCCGCAGGAAGTGTCTGGGGGACTGCACGAGCCTCTCTCACACCGCTAAAGCCTCTTCATTCACCCTCTGCCTCTGGGGGCCTGCTCAGCTGCGCTGCCATCTGGTCTGGCCCCCCTCCAGGGGAAGCCCACCTTTCTTGGGATGAAGGATGAGAGAGCCTTTGTGCTCCCCCTGCAGCCGGCAGTAACCGTCGATGAGGTCAGCCATATTCTCAGCCTCCGCCAGGGACGACGTTTTGATGGACAAGGACTGCAGACAAGAGCCCAGGCGAGGATGAGACCCCAGGGCCTTGGCGAGAGTCTGCCCCGCAGGACCCCTGCCACCCACCGCCCGCCGGGGGCCGCGCACACCCCTTCCGGGCTCTGTTCGCCTTCCCTGTGGCCACCAGGGGGCATGCTCGCCACCCTCCCAACTGGACGCCCCAAGCTCTGGGGGCCCTTTTCAGGTCGCTCTTATTTTGGTCTCTGAATGCACAGCACCACGCCTTGTACCTAGTAGGTGCTCAATGTGCAAAAGCAGAAACAGAAAAGGGAAGAGAGAGGGAGTGGAGCAGGGGACAGGGGAAGGAAGGCGAGATAGACAAATGCTCTGCAGCCTGAGCTCTCTCTGCCACAAAAAGCCTGTGTTCCTAAGGTCTTGATTCCTGAGTCGTCGTTCACTGGGTAAAAGTTAGTCCTCTGATCTGTACCTGATTTCTCGTCACCTTGACCTACCCTAAAAACTTTTCCAACTTCTTTCCTGACGTTTTTTAAAAATCACGTTGTTTCCTGGATTGCCTTATAATCTATTATCATTATGGTACCTTCCTTGTCTAAGTGCTGGGTGCAGTTTCCTTAACAAGATCCCAAAGGCCAGGGATCCCGGCTTCCTGCCCACCCTGGCTAGTCAGGCTGAGCAAGAACTCTCAACCTGCAGCCGTGCCCTGCAGAGCTTGCAGGCCCCCGAGACGCTCACCTGGGGGGCCCCTTCGATGCCCAGCTGCAGGACTGCCTGGCCCTCCTCCAGTGGAAGACACCTGATGGACTTGATCTGCTTGAACTCAGCCAGGCAGGTGGGCTGTGGGAAAGGAAGGGAACCACACAGCTGGGATCGGGCCATAGATTGGTCAGTATGGGGGGTGGGCAGGAGGAACCGGGAGTCTTTTTGTGGGACTAAGAAGGAATGAAAGACTATTACATCTGGAAGCATCATCTAGCCCAAGCACCTCACTTTGCAGAAGAGGAAACGAGGTCAGAAGAAAGCCAGGACTTGCCCAAGGTCATAGCCCAAGCTGATGGTAGAGCCAGGACTGGACACGTCCCCCAGGCAACTCACTGTCTCATTTTGCCACAGAAAGAGCAACTCTTGCAGCTGGCCAAGGAAAGTCATAACAGCTTCCTTCTCTCCCCTCCGCACCCCTGCTTCTGTGCAGAGCATGGTCACAGGGAAGTGAAGAGCCATCTGCCCCATGCTGCTATCCCCAGACTCTCTCTCTGCAGCCACGCACACCAGCGCATGGCTTTACAAGGTCTCTGCTCCCAGCAGTGGGATGAGAAGGACCAACGGGCCAGACAGGAAGGAGGCAGGAGAAGGGGAAAGAGCTCTAAGCCTGGGCTGGGGCTGGGGGTGGGCTGCCCCTGTTTCCCTCTACCTTTGCATCTTGACTTGTCAGCTGGCGGATGCCTTTAGGGCCAATGACCAGGTCCACAGTAATGTTCCATCCTTGCTGGAATACAAGAAGAGAGGGGACTGTTGCTCCAGTTCTGTCCACCCCACATTTCAGAAATGTGAAGAACAGCTCACGAAGCTAGACATGGGCCACTGTATCTTGGGCCCTCTAGCTCCTTCCACCCTGAACCCCAGGCTTACCCACGGCCCCTCCCAACACCCTGCCCACCTCCCCGGGTGGAGGCCAGCATCTCAGCTCCTTGCTGCCAGCAGGCGAGTTGGCACTAGCTCCCCCAGGCAGCTTGGCCTGCAAAGCTCACTGTCTGAGAACCTCCAGCCTCCCCCACCCCGGATGGCCTCTGGCCCCTTTCCCAAGAAGCCTGGGACCCAGGTCAGGGGGAGGCCGAGGGGAGCTGTCATTACGATGAGCTCGCAGCGGTAGGTCTCCTGGTCGATGTTGGCAAAGCCGGCAAGGGTATTGAAGAACTTCCTGACACACTCCTCCTCCTTGAGTGACGCGTACTGCTGGAACGTCTGCTGGATCATCTTCCGGAACTGCTTGGGCTGGGGAAGACATGGGCCACGGTGAGCCAGACCTACTCCTTGGAACTTGGATCCCTTCCCCGAGGGTCCCACTGAAAGGCTGCCCACTGCTGGACGTTGGTCCCCAGAGCTGTGGCCACCAGAGCAGCAGTGATCTATCACCCCAAGCCCACATCCGTCATCTCAAGGAGGATCTCCATAGCCCAATGAGGGAGGGGAGGTGGCCGCCTGGTGCTCAGGCCACACAGCTAAGAAGCTCATCTCATCCTGATTCTCCAGCACAGAAAGGGCCCCCGGATGCACTTGGCTGTCCTGCATCCAGATGGCCCAAGGCAGCGCAGGGGCCCTGGCTTCTCTCAGTATCCTCAGCCTGGTCCCTCCATCTCTAGTCCTGGGGATCAGCACTAAGGGGTTCTTCTGGGCCCTCGCCCACTGGGGTTCTCACCTTTAAGTTCTCTTGCATTTGCTTTGGGAAAAACAGGTCCAGCCCCACTTCCTTTCTGAAAGAAGGGAAACGAAGGCAGCATTTGACCCCCTCACTTCCATCCCAGGACCCCGGCCAGTCGGGAAAAGGTGAGAGGGTGTGGGGAGAGGGACCCTGCCTGGCTCTGGTCTGCAGGGCACTGGAGAAGAGGAAGGGAGGAGGGGTGGCGGGCAGACCCCGAGACTTACTCCAGGAGCTCGAAGTTGGACTTCTTGTCAAGTGCGTTGTGGGGCATGTCCTTGAAGAACCGCCTGGAAAGAGAGAAGGTGTGGAGAGGAGGGCTGATGGCTGGAGACCGGGGCACCCATGACCCCTGTACCTGCCTGATGTGGGAATTGCCGGGAGGGGAAAAGTTAGGAGAGTCATGCAATGTGATATTTAGGAATCTGTGAGGAAGAGGAAAACCCGCGAATTTCATTCCTAGAGAAGAATCCAGCCTTGTGCTCTGGGAGACCCAGCTCCAGGACTGCCACGTGTTAGGCCCTATCTGTGGCCTCTAGAAATGACCAAGGCGTTCAAGGCTCACACCGTCACCCTAGGAACACTGCTTCACCTTCAGGTCCTGTGTTCCCTTTCTGATTTCTTTTTCCCTTATTTGCTGTCTCTGAAATTTTATATGTGTGTAGGTTTGTGTGTTTATTTAAAGAATTATTCAACATAGTACGTATAAAAGCTTTAGGACTTACAGTACAGAAGAAAATAAAAATAATCCATTGTCCTACCAACAGAGGTGACATCTATTAATATTTCATGCATATTCTTTAAGTCCCATGTTCCCTAAAAATGTATGTTTTGATGAAGACTTTCACGTATTATTTATTTGTAGCAACTGTGTTTTAAGCTGAGATCAAATTGTTAATGTCCCCATATGCACCAGCTTCCTTCCCTGTCTGGGTTACTGTGTCTAGTAATTTCATTGACTGTTGCAGACATTGTCCTTCTCGTGATTGTGCATTAAAGTACAGATGGTCCCTGGCTTACAGGTTGAACTTACAATTTTTTGGCCTTATGATGAGTTTATGGGACACAATCCCATTGTAAATTGAGGAGCATCTGTAATTCAGTGGTCCTTTAAACCCAGGTGTCCTTGTAGACATCTGGCAACAGTTTTGTGCTAATACTATAAGCAGAGAGAGGCAAGTAGCTTATGATTAAAAAGTAGTAAATTTAGATAGTTCACTATGTTTAGAAAATAGGAAGGCTAAATCCTCACTTCATATTCTATTTATCTAGAATACTTATTCTTGATGGATAAAAGGATAAATGGAAACAGTAAAACCATTTTAAAACTAGAAAGAAATCTAGGAAAATATTTCCAAATCATTGGGCCAAAAAGAACATCTAAAGCATAAAATTATAGAAGACATCCCCAATACAAACTTAAAACATACAATGTTATATTCTTAACAATTTCTAACGAATGGTGTCTTTGAATATATTGTCAAGCAAAATAAGTAGTTATCTCTTAACAAATATGGTTTCAGTTTTAGAAACAATAAATGCATTAGAAAAAAATCAGCATGCACCTACCTTGTAAATGGATGTTAATCCCTGGTTAATTGAATTCCAGGTAATTTTAGGAATTTATTTTTCTTTTCTACATGTGCTGAATATTCCACATTAAATAAGTATTATCTGTTTTACTTGAAAAAAATCAAACGCAGTGAATTTAGCCCAGTCATCATAACATAAACCTTCTGGGCTCAATACCTGCCGAGGTGACCTGCCCCATAGCCACATATCAATGTGGTGGAAAGTCCTTCTTTCCCGTATCTTCCTCTGATTGGGCCCCTGGAGCTACAGAGACTAAGTTTCACCCCTTTCTCAGATGTCATATATTTGAAGGCGATTATTTTATCATGACCTTCCTCTGTGTTTCCCCGTTTGCTTCCCTCCCTAACCCCCAGTACACATGCACAAGCTCATAATCCTCAGTACTTGAGCAGTTTCACTTAGATGCAAATAAGAATGAACAGGAATGGAGTGGAGGGGGGAGAAAGCGGCCTGAGAAGACAAGTGGTCTGTCCAGGCAGGGCAGGCTGAGTTTGTTTAAAATGCCACAGGTGGGAATGGTGCGGAGGCAGAAGACAAAAAGTCTCTAATATAAAAATTTTCTTACAGAATTCAGAATGAGTACATTTAAGTGAGTTTTAATGACTAATAACATTTTATGACGGCTCAGTCAATATTGCTAAATTTTGTCTTATAATATCGAATATATATATACGTTTTGGTTTTTGGCAGATAGCTGGTAAGGGGATCTGAACCCTTGACCTTGGTGTTAGAACGCCACGCTCCAAACCACGGAGCTCATCAGCCAGCTTCTAAAAGATGCAAGGAGAGCACAACTTACAACACGTTAAATAAAATAGGGCTAGAAGGAGATAACAAAATGCGATAAAGAATGTGGCAAACACGCGGTAGTACTGTAGATGTTTTCACTGAGTATAGGTTTGGGGTTTGGTTGTCCTGGCTGCCAGGGTTACAGATAAAAGATCTCATTTAAGGGCCAGCCGTGGCTCACTCGGGAGAGTGTGGTGCTGACAACCCCAAGTCAAGGGTTAAGATCCCCTTCCTGGTCATCTTTTAAGAAAAAAAAAAAAATCTCATTTAGCAAGTGCAAATATTTGCCATAAATGAGGGATTTTGTTACTGAAATTAAAATGTTTGGAAAGCCACTGATTAAACGAA